GGCTGAAAGGGCGAGCATGTTTGGTGGGATGCGGATTCGAACCCGCGACCCTCACATTGTGAGTCGAGCGCCTTATCCACCTGGCCATGCCGGGCCTTTTTTGAGGACGAAAGAAAGAAGTTGGCAAATTATTTTTTCACAAAGTAATAATAGATTCTGAAGATGAGCTCATTACAAACTTAAGCTTTACACTTGCAAATTGCTTTCTCTCTCTCTTTTTTCTTCTAATGTAAAATTAATGTAAATAAAATGTAAAAATTAAATGAAGACCAATGTTTATGAAAAAAATTAACAAAAATCAACTTAACTTAGTCATGAGGTATTCTTACTGAAACCTTTACTGGGTTTCAATTTAAGAAGCACTAGTAATACAATACTTTCAACAAATTTAAAATTTTAAAATTCATCATAAAAAAAAGAACAGTCTAGCTTAACCTATATGTTTTTTATGCACACATTTATTACGTATTACCAAGGATCTCTGCTGCTGTGGTCAAGAGTAGACTGATGTAGTCAGAGAGCAAGAGTGGTTTACAGGGCATGTAATATTCTGGAACAGTCAAGTTTGCAGGTTGGCTAGCTGTAGAGAAAAAATGTACTGAATATCGTTTTTCAAACGTTCCTTAATAAGTACTAAATATTGTTAAAGCTTACAGGTCATTAAATATTTAATATGTAAAGGTGTTTTACACACAAAAGTAAATTTATTTTGTTAAACTTGTCAAATAAATATATTACTTGGAAAACTCTGTATAACCTACCCTATGTTCTTGACCTTGCACATATTTTACCAAACGTCATTAATGTTTGTTAAAAAACAACAGGAGGAAATGAGTTTAGAGAGAGTGTGTTTTATGAAGTGATTTTCTTAATTTTCATCAAGTTAAGAGTTTCATTTCCGAGAATAAAACAATTGTTAATAGCATAAATAGAAGCTAGATCTTTAGTCGTGTATAACGGACTATGAAATATAAATGTTAAGTCAGCTTATCTTAATAACACAATACTCTCATTGATAGAAAGTTAAGATATTAGTCATAAATTAAGGTTTTGAAAATTAAGGAAGACATAAAAGATTTTACATACAACTTGGTTATCATTAACGAAGAGAACTTATTACACAAAATCAAACAACAAATACTTCTTAATTATGAGGCTTTATGTAAGTTATATCAATTTCTTATCCACTCCCTCTCTTAACATATCATAAAGATTATAACATGTAACGAATTTGTTATTATATATTTATTTTAATATGAACGTTTGTTTAAATTAAAGTTATATTTAGAAACATGCATAGCTTATACTGTTGAATATGTATTGCAAAACTCCCGTCTATTCTCCAAAGCTGTAGAAGATTATTGAGAGTAAAAATCAACAATAGATGAGTGTATGTAAATACTTGTATTAGCCCCAGTGTTGTTACGTAAAACTGAAATTTCTAGAAAACCTCTACATGCCTATAAATATAACTAACGCACCGCACCAAAAGAGAGTATCTATTATTAGTTCGCTATAGTCAGGGTGCTATAAACTTTGGAAACTATAACTGTGATTATTATAACGCTTATCAATCGGAAAACTTCAGATATTTGACCAGGAAACTTTACAAAGTTCGAACATTACAAATTATTTAACTTCAGTGGATTCTCATCGGACATTAGTATTTTTACCCAAAAAATTATATAAATTCATCGTGGAAACTCGACGTATGTGGCCGATAAATAACGAAGGACAAAGCTAGCTGGCTTCCCTTTAAGCGAATCGTACCTACATCAACTCGTAATTAACTCACTCATCGTGAACCCTCGATAAGATATCAAGGAAGTTCCAAATAAGAAAGAAGACTTTATATTGCTTGTAAGTTTGTGAAACTCTTGTTTATAAGTCATTGGTTGTAATACTTATTTGTAATAATAGTTATTGTAAATTATATTGTTGTGTGTATATTAAAACATATTTGTGTTAAAAAAGAAAACTGTGTGTATCAATATCGTTGGCAAATATCATAAACTGACCATATCTCGGCATATATTGAAACACCAAATCTAAAGTACAATTTAACTATTAAATTTGAATTATCAATTAATTCGGTTTTGGACTATTTGAAATTCTAATATGTAACAAACACTTAATAAGTATTTGGTTATGAAACTTACACAAGTAAGCATTAAACTTTATAATTTCACTAGGATTTGAACTAATAAAACTACATTCAAATGGCTCTTTAGTATTTAATATCAATACTATGTTCAAATACTACATAGGTGACATTTCGGATAATTATCAGTATAAAGTCTACCTACTTTTTATTGGCAGTCCGCCATGTAAAATCACTTCTGGAGTCAGAAGAACAATGCCGTAGTATACAAACGTTAGGAAAAACCTAGAATATAAAAAGCCTTGCCTAAGAAAAATATGATAATCATAATAATCTTTGATAAACTTAAATAAAAAATAACTTTTGTGGAATCTCGCGGATGATAAAAAAATAAGCAGTAAAGTTAGGCCCGCGAAAAACTGGAGTTTCTCGGATCGGGGTGTATTTTTACCAACGAGTTGTGACAGTTAAGTCACAAAGTAGGAGCCAAGACATAGGTTTATACAAAGCAAAATATTTAGTGATTCACAATTAACAGTACAAATAAACTGTACTCCACTACACAGTACACAAAAATATAGTACAATGGACAAGTAATAGAGTGTACTTTGAAGCTTTAAATAGAGAGTGTAAGAACAAAAACAACTAATCAAGACTTTAATATAGAATATTCCCATTGGGCCATGTACTCCTTCATATAGATTATTTTAAGTGAAATGAAACCACTAAGTAAAAATAACTTAACTTACAAACTCTCACTTCATTCTACATAACTAAAATACGACTTTGAAATCCCAATCATTACACAAACAACTTCAATAGTTACGTTTTGAAGCTTTACTAATAAGTTACAAGCAATACTGAAATCGTTGATCTTGGGCCTCACTTTATAAATCAGCAAAGTCTCCTTGATGAGGAGACTGTGTTCATCATTGGTCCTAGCCAAGACCTTACACAAATTAGATTTTACAGAAACATCACATTCAACTAGGGCGTGTGTAAGTATATTAGACTTGACTAGAGATCTGGTATCAGCATGTTCTTTAGTGCGATTTATTGAGATGTTTTATGTATAGGCCGCGATTCTTTAGAGTAGGTATCTGTTACTTGTTGGCGATAAATTTCAACACTGAAGAGACAGAACACAATCCACTTGATTTAGAATGATATATTAAAACAAGTCAAACATATATACAAATGTTCGTTACACTCTTGGTTATCATAGTTTTATTCAGAGCTTAAAATAATTGTTTCTTTTTCGTCAAAGTCCACACAGGCTGCTTCAACTATTTTAGAAAACAATTTGACAAGACGAATTATTATTCTCTACTCTGTTACTACAATACGATCTGTGAAAATTTCACTTTAAAAACTGCCACTATATGCTCTCTATGGCTAAACTCACAATCCCTCAATCTAAATCTATTTCCATCGAACTACATTTTCTACGAGTATTTATACCCGAACAAAGATCTACAACATTCCATACACTACGAGATATTATGATGCAATAATACTCAATTAAAACAACTAGAAAAACTCAGAAGGTTCTAGTAACATGATGCAATAATATAACAATCGCCAATTCATAACTATTGGACTACACAATGTATAATTCGTAAACAGTTACGTGAAAAAACCTGCAACAAACCATCGCTTCTAAAAATATTTAACTTTAACACTCACAATAATCTTAAACTGAAACAGTCATGTATGTTTAACAGTTATTAACTTTCATTTGGTGGAACAAATATAATCATCGCTTGTAAAAATAGTTAACTTTAACACTCACAATACTCTTAAACTGAAACAGTCATGAATGACTAACAGTTATTAACTTTCTTTTGGTAGAACCAATATAACCCTCTTGGCAGCAAGAACAAGTATATTTATACACACCAAAAGAGGAATGAAGAAGTATAATTTTGTCTTTAAATTTGCAAAAATAGCTAAGGCAACAATTATTTAAAAATGCACATCAACACTATCTGTGGGTATACCCTGCAGATGATATTCTTCAGCTGACATTTAATAATCAATGAATATTTGCACATATAAAGTAAACTAATAGATAAATCATGAATACAATATTTTAGTACACTTCGCTTATTAAAATAACATCGAATTATTATATCTACAAAATGATTTGGAAAGTCATTTTTACATAAGAATTTCATAATACTTATAAATTCTTTATGTAAATTATTATACATACTGGATATTTCATAAGCACTATGAAAAAGTATTTTCTGTAAACTCTCCTTAAAAACATCGGGAATAAAACTCTCAGAATTAAAAAACAATCCAATTAAATTATTTTTATAATAAATTTCATATTTAAAATGTCCATTATTGTTATTTATATGTGTGTCCAGGAATGGAAGCTTATGATCCTCCTGATTTTCAACATTAAACTTAATACTACCATGTTTACTATTTAAGCATTGTAAAAAGTTAGGAACCTGATCAGTATTCTCAAAGATAGTAAAATTGTAGTCAACACATCTGCAAAAGTAGAGAGGCTAGAACTTTAATGAGCAATTGTCCAACTATTGCTTTTCATAAAAACAGGTTGGAGCCAATGCTTCACTAACTATGCTTCACACTTAAAATGAAACAAACTCAATCTGAATCCCTGATGTGAGCCTTATGTATCAACTTGCAGAAACCACAATTCCAATGCAATAACTTTGAGGGTTCTCGATATGTCAGACAAAAAGAAAATATCAACTTCTTTTGTACAGGTTAACCGAATAAAACCACAGATGAAATAATAAAGGTTCCGCTAATTTTCAGTACAAATTGGTAAGCGGTGTAAGACTAGAGAAAGGCAGCTAGTCATCACCACCCACCGCCAACTCTTGGACTACTCTTTACCAACGAATAGTGGGATTGGCCGTCACATTATAACGCCCCCACGGCTGAAAAGGCGAGCATGTTCGGTGTGACGGGGATTCGAACCCGCGACCCGCAGATTGCGAGTCGAGCTCCCTTACCACCTGGCCATGCCTGGCCGCCCTGCTTTAGAAGTTGCTGCTATTGTTTTTTGTCGTTTTTTTTAATTAATGCATACTTGACTTTATGTTCTCTTTGATCCATTTGAATTTTTTGTATTATATTTATAAAGTCAAGGAGCAATATGTTACATTGTACAGTAACGGGAGATATAACAGAGTTATACTAAGTTATTAAAACAGTTAATTTTTGACATAAATATTTTTAAAACTTTTCACAAAACAAGATTTTTAGTTATTTTGCGCCTTTTAAAACCAAGTTTATAAATTTGGCTGTTTGGTTGTTGTTAAGCGAAAAGCTACACAATAGGCTATTTGTGCAGTGCCCACCACGAGTATCGAAACCTGATTTTTAGAGTTATAAATCGACACACTGAGCCTCTGGCTGCAAAGTTGTACAGCAGTATTGATGTTCGACTTTACAAGGAAGTATAAGAATCAACAGTATTCCGAAAAACAGTATTTTTAGTTTAAGTATACACCTGGAAAAAAGTTAAGCACCCCCAAATATTTTTCAGGATTGCTTATT